GACTCTGGTTGCGGCTGGCTTGGCTCTTTGCTTGCTCCATCTTATCACCTTGGTACCAAGCAACCCCATTTTCTCCCCTCTTTCCCACCCCATTTAGCATCTCCCCTCCAAACCAAGGGTCCAGCCGTGGCCCTAACATGGTGTGTGCTGTCTCTGTGTTGTTGTCCCAGTATTTTTTAGTCTGTTCCCACCCTGTGTCCGTCTGGTCCGCTTTGATGCCAACCTCCCAGAGCAAGACCTACCTGCTGTCTGTCTGGCCTTTTTGCACGCTGCTGTCCTAAACGTGGTCGATCACAACTGTCCAAGGGGGTAGGAGAGGTGCTGTTTTCTCTTAAACAAGCTTTCTTGGAGACCCAAAGGCTACTGAGCACAGCAGAGGGTGTTTCATATGGTGTCGATTGGAGTTGCGTTGTGGTGGCTCTTCTAAGATGGTGTTTTGAAGTACCATGGGGTTACCCCCTCCTAGCTTGGTCAATCAGAGCAATGCCCCCCTGTGAGAAGTCACAGCCCCTCTTATGTATTTAACTGCCCTGTGTCTGACAACAGCCACCATGGGAGATGGAGAGCAGTGTTTGTTCCTCGTGGCAGGAGGAGAAAAGCCCTTGGTCCCTGCAACCCTTTGAGCCAGGGCTGTCTGAGCCTCAAACAGGCCCATGTCCTCCATGGGACATCTAGGACCGAAGGGTGAGAGATCATCATGCCTTTTGGCCATGCAACCTACCCTGATGCTGAAAACCTTGATGTGGTGGGCAAAGAGAAGGCTCATAGCAATACGTTTTGGTTCTGGTTATACTATAAGGAGGGTCTTACCCTGTGAGATCCTATGCACTTGCAACCACGTTGATCCTAGGAGGATCTGCCTGCAAGGGATGCTAAGGGCAAAAAGGATCTTCCAGGTCAGAGTGGCTCAGTTTAGATGATGACAATAGAAGACAAATATTGGGGGGTTTATTTTTAGTTATACTTTTAAAGTCTTTGCCTCCTTGTGCTTCCTCTGTGTTGCTTCTGTCCGTGGGTCTGAGTTGTGTCATGTTGCCATCCCACCCCTCCTTTTCTCTATAACAGAGCATCTGCCTTCATCTGTACCCCAATCTAAGCCTGATGGATTTGGGAAGGGGATGGAAACCCCATGGAATTGGCACCAGCTAGATCTTCCTAGAGAAAATACAGAACCTCTTTTGTGGCTGTAGCTTTGTCAGGCTGATGTGTGGATCCAGGCTGGAGATGTGTGGGGCTCCTCAAGCCCTCTGCTCCTGGGGCTGGGGAGAGGGTTAGAACTTTAAGAGAAGGTGGTTGTTACCCTTTAAAAGAAAGGAATAAATAGCAATAGTTTGACAAATCACCTTCTTTTATGTGGGAAAGCCACTAGATGGTGCCAGAAGATCAGAAACACCATAAACCACCCTCAATCCCTGCTGCTTCCCCATCAAACAGCCTTAAAGCATCCCTGGCTGTGGCAAGGAGAATGGGATTTACTTGAAAGCCTTCCCTTGGAGTAGGATGAAGAGGTGGGGAGTGGGCTATGAAAGCCTGGCCTGAACAGCCACTGTTTGCAATGGGATCTTGGGAATGGCTGCGTTGTCTGAGACCACCAAACCCTGTCTTCCCCTTTCGTTCCTCATGGCAGCCCTCTGCAGCTGAGGGTCTGCTACAGGGGTGCTCTCAGGCTGAAAAACAGCTTTAAAAGCCAAATCCCCCTTAAATTTGCTGCCATTGCTTGTTGCTCTCAGCAACGTTCTTCACACACATTCAGTAATGAGAATAAAAGTCTGGCTAGTTTTAAGTCAAGCCAAGTTCCCCTCAGCTTCATGTTGTTCATGTGGTGGAAACTTCTGGTGATGCTGAGTTGCATCAAGGCTTTAAAAAGTGGCAGGTCTGTGTAGCAGCATTAAAGTAAAGACCTAGCATTTGGGGAGGGAAGTGCACGGGGAGAAATGGCATTAAAGGCATCGTATGTGCCAGCTCCCTACATTGGGGCTGCTTGTACTTCCCTGCAGAGCAGCTCAGGAAGGTGCCTCTGCTGTGTCTCAGGTTTGAGACCTTAAGTTGTCTCTGAGCTCTCTTCTGCAAGTGTGAGCATAGAATCCCAGACTGGTTTGGGTTGGAAAGGGCCTTAAGATCATCCAGTTCCAACCCCCTGCCATGGGCATGTCACTCAGTGAGGAAAAGGTTATGGTTTCTTGGTTTGGTGTCTTGTTCTGTTCCCATTTTCCAGGCCTAAGAGTCAAAATAGCCCTCCCTCCTTTGGGCAGATGGATAGCTGATATGAGAGGGGCTTGGGGCTACAGTCCTTGATGGAATTAGGGTGCTCAAGGTGGTTAAAGATGACCTGCTTGTATGTCTGTACCCCTCTGAGAGAACATCCTCATCTCTAAACATCCTCCTACCATGCGGGGTTGTATAGGCACAAGGGAGCAAAGGGTCTGGGGGACTTGTTGATCTCTACATTGGTGGCCACTTGCACTGAGGATGCTCCTGTGGCTGGGGGGACCAGTCCCTGATATCCCTCTCTTGTCTTGCAGGTGGCGCTTCGGAAGCATCAGGACCTACAATCCAGAGCAGATCATGCTCAGCGCTGCTGTCCGCCGGTCCAGCCGGGACGTCAAGATCATGAAGGAGAAGCTGATCTTCTCAGGTATGGATGGGCTGGAGCCCTGTGCTCCATCACTCAGCTGACACCCTGTTCTCTGCTGGTGGAGGAGGTGGGCTTGGTTTGGGTGTCATCTCCTGCTGGTGGGACAGCGGGGCTGGACTGACCCTGCTGCACTGAATCACTTGTGGGATAGGGTCATGGCTTGCCCATCCCAAACCTGTGCAGGTCTGAGCACTGATTTACTCAGAAATCCTACGTTTTACTTCCCAAGTGATGCCATGCAGCTCTTAGAACCTTACAGGGTCTGAAATCATAGAATCACAGAATCAACCAAATTGATCCTGGTTGGTAAAGACCTTTAGGATCATGAAGTCCAACTTTAACCCCAGCACTGTCAAGGCCACCACTAAACCATGTCACTGAGGGCCTCATACACAGCTTTTGGACGCTTCCAGGGACGGTGATTCCACCACTTCCCTGGGCAGCGTGTTCCAAAGCCTGAGCACCCTCTCAATGAAGAAAATATAGAGGTAGACTTGTATTTAGAGGCAGACCCTGTTTGGAACTGGTTTTAAATGGGTGCAGTGTAATTAAACCTGGGGTTAAATCTCTGTAGCATCAGATGGATCCCATGTGCTGGGAAGAGCATCACTGCTCAGTGCCTCAGTTTCCCCACGGTGGGACTCTCACCATGACCATGGTGCGAGTCTCTGACCATGTCCCTGCTTTCCCCTTGCCTCCCCAGAGATCAACCACGGGGTG